TGGCCTGTGGAGTGGCTGGTGTCCAGGACAGTGAATGTCCCTGTCCTTCAAAACAGGCTGTGGGGCAGCATTGGTGACCCAGTCTCCCACAGGTCTTAACCTGTTCATAATGGCATAATGAATGTCTTTAATTGCAGCTAGATTAGCTGGCCCATAGGGGCCTTTCCGCCGGCATTCCAAGGTTAAACACGGCTTCAATCCTGAGCCCAAACAGTGACGCCAAACCCTAATCCAAAAAATAATAGTGGATATGAGCGTGTTTGGGGTAGGGCTGGAAACCTTGGCACCAGAGGCACTGATATGGCAGCAGCTCAGCCACTAATTCCTGATTTTCCATACCCTCAGCTTGGGCATAAAACCTGAAGCAGGGGTTTTGGGGAGCTTACTTTGGGGCTGATCCCACTGGGATTCCTGAGCCAGCAGGGCTTTCTGGGGATCCAGGTGCAACCACTGTCCTCCGGCACCTGGCCCAAGCAGGAAGTAGCTGGAGAGGCTTTGTTGTGTTTATCTTTCAGTTGCAGTGCTGGGAAAGGAAAATACACCTTCTATCTGCAAATAAATCGGGGGAACTGGGCCAGGTGGGGACAAGAGACACACAGTCCGCTCTTGGGTTTCCTCCACCTCTGTGGTGTTTGTCCTCCTCCAGTGGGAAGAGCCATGGAGCAGCCTTGTGTGCCAGGACCAGGATGTGGGGCCCTGGGAGGGGAAGGGTGCTGGATAGTGAGTGTGGCACCCCAAATCTCCCCTGGTAATCTGGTCTTCTTGCTTTTCCCACTTCTGGGAGAAAGAGATGAATCTGGTGAGTCTGGAGTCTCTTCTTCTGCTATGACCTAAGGGGAGTTAAAGAGTGGCATATCATAAAAATTATTTTCCCTAATCCAGCAGAGTCTAAAGGGGAAAATCGCTCCTGCAAGACATAGCTTCTGCAGTGATCATTATCCACCTGATTTCTGATCTATCGGCAGCTCCTCCTGTCCATCCCTGCAGTTAAATTTGGACCAGAGCCTTTGGCAGGCGTTCCCCTGCCCTGGAGCTGCTGGCTGGATGCCACCAGGCTGGGTGATGAGAGGCCAGTGCCACCTTGTGGCAGCTGTCTCAGGGTCCCAGTGGCACATGGTCCTCTTTCCCAGGACACTCTGGCATCCCTGGAGCAAGAGCAGATGGACTTGTCTCCACAGGACCTTCGGCTCCTGTTTGTCTGCCCTTGTCCCCATGGAACCCACATCTCCAGCTTCGCTCATGTCCCCTTGGGATCTGTGGCTCTGGCTGCTTGGGTGTCCCCATGGCTCCAGCTGGCTCATGTGCCCTTGGGAGTGGTGGCTCTGGAATGGTTTGGTGTCCTCGTGGCACCCACAGCTCCAGGCTGCTTGTGTCCCTGTAGGGCTGGTTCGGTGTCCCCATGGCACCCATAGCTTCAGTCTGGCTGGTGTCCCCTTGGGATCCACGGCTGTGGGGTTATAGTGTCCTGGAGACAGTTGCATCCAGTTGCATTGTTCCCATCTTGCAGAGCTCTGGAGCAAGGCACTCCACCACGTGGCTGTGTGGCACACTTGGAGAACTCAGACATCCTGGTCTCACTGCAGGCAAAGAGCGGGGAGGTGAAACCAGCACACACCAAGCACTGTGTCAGAGCCTTTCTAGGATGATCCCCTAGGAATTTTCAGCTTCAGTTCCCTTTCTCGGCCCTATCATCTCTCTCCTCCCATGCAGGCTCCCATCTCAGCCTCATCTTTCCCAGACTCCTGCTCTGGGCAGAAGTGATGGCCCTACTGCCAGCCAGGCAGAAGCTTTTGGGGCTCAGAGCGAGCTCCCAGGGTCTGGCTAAGTGATGCTCCACAGCAAACCCTATGACACGTAGCAGAGAAAGCCATGACAACTCACTCACATTACAACCCCAGCAGCCTGGTTTGGAGTTCCAGTGGGAACACTAAACTGGGGAGTACCATTCCTAAAGCATCAAAGGAGAATCTTCGTCAAGAACATAAGCAAAGCCCAACCTTGTAAAGATTTTTCAAAACTTGCAAAAAATAGAAGAGATAATCAATTGCAAAGCATTTGCTATGTTATACAGGTTAAAATAGGAGGGCTGGTTAATAAATTAATGAATTAGAGAAAGAAAAAAAGAAATGAATTCCCAGCAAACTTACTCTACTGATGGACTCATCTGGATGGGTTTTGCAAGGACCCATGGCTTAGGATCTCCTGGGACATCAGTGGGAGAGGCTTGGGCAAGCTGCCCCTTCCTCTGAGTCCTTAGTTGGGGTTCCCCACCTGCCACTGGGCCCCTTGTGGAGACAGCTGATGTCTCTCCTTCCTCTGCTGGGCAGGTATGGTGGGGTGTTCCTTGGACTCCCACAGCTGCCTTTGCCTCCCTGTCCTCATGTATGGGTGTGCAGCCAAGCTCCTTCATGGGTAACCCAGCAGATCCACTCTCAAACCCAGTTGGGGAGTTGCTGTTCAGCTTTTCAGCTTCTTCTGAAAACAAACACTTGCAATGTTTTTGCTTTCTCCAGTTTCTCTTCCACTTTTTGTGAAGTGAGGTGCTTCGTGTCTGCTCCTGCAAGAGACCCAGCACAGCGGTGTGGTCATGACAACAAAGCTCTACCTACCTCACCCAGGGAAATGATGAGAGGACGAGAGGGTTCCCATTCCCAGCAGGACTAGCAAGAGCTTGCAAGGGAAAGAGGGAAGCCCTGGGAGGTCAGAGCAAAGTGTCTAGTGGGGGTGACTCA